GACGGCGGTGCCCGGGGAGGCGGCCTCGGAGACGGCGGCGCGGTAGTGGGGCTGCGGGAAGGCGGGGGCCTCGTCGTTGAGGTCGGCGACGCGCAGCAGCAGCGGCTCCTCGGCGGAGAGCGGCGGGGCGCCGCCGTCGGTGGCCACCAGCCGCAGCTCGTAGAGGTCGCGGCTCTCGCGGTCCAGCGGACCCGCCACGCAGAGGAAGAAGACGCCGGCGCCGGCCGGCCGCAGCGCGAAGGCGCCTTCGCCCCCCAGCAGGGCCAGCGCGATGCCCCCGCCACCATCCTCCTCCGCCGCCGCCTCGCCGCCCTCGTCGGCATCCGACACGGAGACGCGGGCCACGTAGTCGCCGGGGCGCGCCCCCTCGGAGACCCGCGGGCCGCCGCTCTCGGTGAGGTAGAGCAGGCGGATGGCGGGGCGGTTGTCGTTCACGTCCAGCACGGCCACGGAGACGAGGGCGCTGGAGACCTCGGGCTGGGCGCCGCCGTCCCGCGCCTCCACCACCAGCCGGTGCAGGGCCCGCGCCTCCCGGTCCAGCGGGCGGCGGAGGCGCAGTACGCCGCTGCGCTCCTCCACCGCGAAGTAGCCGTCGGGGTCGCTCTGCCGGCGGTTAATGGCGTAGCGCACCTCCCCGTTGGCGCCCAGGTCGGGGTCGGTGGCCCGCAGGCGGCAGACGACGGTGCCCGGCGGCGCGTCCTCCCGCAGCCGCGCCCGATATTCGGCGCGGGTGAAGGCGGGCGCGTTGTCGTTCTCGTCCAGCACCCGCACCCACACCCGCAGGCGGCCGCTGCGCCGCGGGCTGCCGCCGTCCCACGCCTCCACCACCAGCTGGTGCGTCTCCGCCCGCTCCCGGTCCAGCCGCCGCAGCAGCACCAGCTCCAGCGGCTCCGGCCGCCCGTAGCGCAGCTGGAAGAGCGGCGGCTCCGCCGTCGCGCCTCCCTCCTCCAGCAGCGCGTAGCCCTGCGTCCCGAAGCGGCCGGCGTCGGGGTCGCGGGCGGCGGGGAGGCGGAAGGCGGTGCCGGGCGGGCTGAGCTCGGAGACGTTGAGCCGCAGGCAGTCCCGGGGGAAGCGCGGCGGGTGGTCGTTCACGTCGGTGACCGCGATCTCCACCTGCACCACCTCGCCGCGCAGCGTGGCCGCCGCGAAGCTGTAGCGCGCCCGCCGCTCCCGGTCCAGCCGCCGCGCCGTGCGGATGATGCCGGTCTCCGGCTGGACGTGGAAATCCGCCAGCACCGCCGACTCGCCGCTCCCCTCCGACAGCAGGAAGCCCCCCGGCGGCCCCGCGCCCGCCGGCAGCCCGGCACGGATGTCCCCCACCAGCGTCTCGGCCGGCAGCCCCTCGTCCACCGCCAGGCTGAGGTTATACACCGGCGCCGCGCCGCTGCCCGCCGCCCACAGCCACCACAGCGGCACCAGCAGCGCCAGCGCCCGCCCCGTCGGGGGACCGCCGCCTCGCCCGCCCCGGCACCTGCCGCCCCGCCGCCGCCGCGCCATCCTCCGCCGCTAAGCCGGCATCGCGGGCAACCTGCCGCTTCCCCCCGCCGCCGCCGGGCAGGTGGCTTCGCCCCGCCGCCGCGGGAGGAAATCCTGCACGCCGCCGGTGCGGGGAAGGACAAGGCTGTGCGAGGGGGCGGGGAGGGCGGCTCCCCACACCCCACCGCCCCGCTCAGCCCCCGCCCCACCGCCCCCCCACTCCGCGCCTGGGGGCGGGCGTCCCCCGGCCGCGGAGCGGTGGCGCAGGGTGCGGGCGGCGCGGAGCTGCTGGAGGGTCACCCTGAAGTCACCCCGAAGACTTGGCCGAAATTGATTTCTCCTGACGGGGAGAAGCGGTGAGCGGCGCACGGGCTGCCCCTCGGCGCAGGGCCATGCCTCCTCAAGGAGGAGAGTTTAAACGGCACAGAAATCTGCGAGGATAAACGGGTTCGCTCAATTCAGCAAGGATTTTTCTCGCCTTTCTATTCTGCTCCTCGTTTTCCCTGGAAAGGCTTTGCTCGTTATCCTAGCATTGGGTCAGTAAATAGCACTCAGTGCGGAAGGGAATCGTTTACCAGAAGTAAGCTCCAAGTAAGAAACTTCCATCAGCTTCAGCAAAACCAGAATTTCCTTCCTTTTTCACCATTTCTAAATACGAATGGTCTAAGGATGAATTAGTGTCACTTCAGTGACACTTAGAATATACAGCATCATATAGGTGCTGAGTACCAACATCCACCTTTCCATGAAAAATAAGCACAATACTTCATCAGTTACCAGTCTCTTGCTGTTCCCACTGGTCCTTTACCAATCTTAATTTCACATTTTGGGCAAGAGTCTGACTGTTAGTCAGGGAAAAATAAATTGATCCTAGGACAGATAAGTAAATTCAGGGCAAAGACAATAAAGTAGCAGGAGGAGTTACTGCAGCTCGGTCCTCTCCTTTGAAGGGGCTCTTGGGACAGCAGCCGTTTTGCTGTTTGCCACTTTTCCTAGTCAAGGAGGAACTATAACAAGTACAGCTGCCAGAGCACCCCTTCCCCAAGGAGGGGGCAAAGCAGCTGCAACAGCCTTTGATGTATCCACACAGGGGAGGAGAAGGGGAAGAGAAGGAACCTAACAATTCCACATATCCAAGTAAGAGGGAGAAATAGGTTCTGAAATAAGTCTAGAAGTCTTAGTGCATGTCTGCATGCACAAGAGGGGAGACACTCCAGATCATATCCACTGTATCTGACTTTTCTCCTTGCATAGAGAGACCGGGCTGAGCAAAAGCTAGATTTTGTCAGATGATCTAAGGCACATTCTGAGAAAGTCTCTGTGTATTTATATACTGTGATAATTACAAGCATAGAAGCAAGAAGGAAACACTGAGGCCCTTGCCAGTTCCATTCATATTCATTGAGAAAACACATGGATCCTCCCCAAGTCACAGATGTTCAATATGAAAATGCCTGAATTCCATTGAATCACAGCAAGTTTGGAAAAACAGCCATGTCCCATGCAGCCCATGCAGTCACTAGGAAAACATGTGAATCATGTTCAATCAGACACATTCACTGAAAAACTAACCAAAACCTGCTGTTGCCAAGGTCAGGCAGTGCCTAAAGAACAAAGTTCTGAATTCGGATACAGCACGCATGAAGATAGTGGGGGAAAAAATAAGATGGACCCGGTTGTCTGTGGTTCTGGAGGTATTAATGCACAACCAAGCATATTTTGCGAGACGAGGGCGCTCATAACACTTTTATAACAAGAAAGGTCATATAAAAGCACTGCCTAACTACAGTGTGTTTCCAGAAATACCACATTTTTGGGACTCTGCAGGTGCTCTGTCTACTGAGAGTGTGAGGCTTACCTTGTAAGTGTTCTTCCACCTTCTTCATCTGTTGGTCTTCTCTGAGCCTTTTCTTCTTTCCTCCATTCCCGTCTTGTGCTTTTCCTCCCCGTCTCTTTTGCCACGTTCATGACCTCATTCATTTTCTTCCATAAATCACAAACAGAAATTTCTAAGTCTTGAGGAGATTTTTGCTCTCCTGGATATATTTAGCTACTCCTGCTGTTCCCCATCTTCTCAGTGACATGCTGACCTACAGGAAAAAGAGAAATGGCATCACATTAGACATGGAGGGAAGCTGCCACAATGACACTATCACAAAGGAAGCAAAGGTGCAAATTTTTAGTGCACTAGTTAACTCCTATGTCCGCAACAGGTCTCTCTTGTAGTGAAGCCCCTTGCCAGCTATTCAGATCTACCAAGTCTTCTAGTGTAAAAAATGGACATGAGCATAACCTTGTTTGAAAGCGAGGGATGCTGGTTAGAGCATGCTAAATGCTCATGTGTTCCAGTTTAGAAGGGATCACAGAATCACAGGATGATATGGGGTTGGAAAGGACCTCTGGAGATCATCTAGTCCAACCACCTGCCAAAGCAGGATCAGCTGTTTGTGAGCCAGCACGCTCAGCCAGAAAGCAGCCGTCCTCCCATCCCTTTACTAGAGGTGGTCACCTCTGGCTTGGTAGGCAGGTGGACAGCATGGGAATCCACTTTCAAACCACTGAAGTCTCCAGCCCTGCCTCTTCAGGCAACACTACGTGGGTCTTGCTCTCCTCCACTATGCAAGGCAGTGAACTCTGGTGCTCCCAGAGCAGCTCCGTAAGCCAATTCAGCTGTCCTTGTGGCAGGGACCCAACCTCGAGGAATGGAGCAAGGAAGGAAACTGGAAGGTGATAATTGTATCAGCTGCTTAAATTTAATCGGCCCGTATTTGTAAATCAGTATTTGCTGCAGCTCAATCCTCCTTGGATTAAGTGGAATTTTTTTTCCTTCAAGGAGAATTAAACTGTAGCAAACTAAAGCTGTGGTATGATACTAGAGCACAAAAGATCACCGAAACAGAGACAGTGTTGTTACAACCCTGAAGGTCCATCATTATTAGGAGTTAATTCCACCTACAAACATTGCCCTGCCCACGCAACAGCTGTGGCAGCTTAAGATGTGACCCTCCCACGCTGAAGACATAGATGACTGAGGTGGTGAAGCAGGAGGAGTACTTCCTTTGCTGCAAACCAGCCTCAGCAGCAGCCGCCGCTGGTTAAGCCAAACCAGCTGAGTGGGGACTAACGCAGGGTGGGGAAGTCACCCCGAAGACTTGGCCGAAATTGATTTCTCCTGACGGGGAGAAGCGGTGAGCGGCGCACGGGCTGCCCCTCGGCGCAGGGCCATGCCCCCTCAAGGAGGAGAGTTTAAACGGCACAGAAATCTGCGAGGATAAACGGGGTTGCTCAATTCAGCAAGGATTTTTCTCGCCTTTGTATTCTGCTCCTCGTTTTCCCTGAAAAGGCTTTGCTCGTTATCCTAGCATTAGGTCAGTAAATAGTGGTCAGCGCGGCAGGGAATAATTTACCAGAAGTAAGCTCCAAGTAAGAAACTTCCATCAGCTTCAGCAAAACCAGAATTTCCTTCCTTTTTCACCATTTCTGAGTCCTGTATCTAAATAGGAATGGTCTAAGGATGAATTAGTGTCGCTTCAGTGACACCCAGAATATACAGCATCATATAGATGCTGAGTACCAACATCCACCTTTCCGTGAAAGCTAAGCACAATACTTCAACAGTTACCAGTCTCTTGCTGTTCCCACTCGTCCTTTACCAAACTTAATTTCGCATTTTTGGCAAGAGTCTGGCTGTCAGTCAGGGAAAAATAAATTGATCCTAGGACAGATAAGTAAATTCAGGGCAAAGACAATAAAGTAGCAGGAGGAGTTACTGCAGCTCGGTCCTCTCCTTTGAAGGGGCTCTTGGGACAGCAGCCGTTTTGCTGTTTGCCACTTTTCCTAGTCAAGGAGGAACTATAACAAGTACAGCTGCCAGAGCACCCCTTCCCCAAGGAGGGGGCAAAGCAGCTGCAACAGCCTTTGATGTATCCACACAGGGGAGGAGAAGGGGAAGAGAAGGAACCTAACAATTCCACATATCCAAGTAAGAGGGAGAATTAGGTTCTGAAATAAGTCTAGAAGTCTTAGTGCATGTCTGCATGCACAAGAGGGGAGACACTCCAGATCACATCCACTGTATCTGACTTTTCTCCTTGCATAGAGAGACCGGGCTGAGCAAAAGCTAGATTTTGTCAGATGAAAATAGCACTCAGTGCGGAAGGGAATCGTTTACCAGAAGTAAGCTCCAAGTAAGAAACTTCCATCAGCTTCAGCAAAACCAGAATTTCCTTCCTTTTTCACCATTTCTGAGTCCTGTATCTAAATAGGAATGGTCTAAGGATGAATTAGTGTCGCTTCAGTGACACCCAGAATATACAGCATCATATAGATGCTGAGTACCAACATCCACCTTTCCGTGAAAGCTAAGCACAATACTTCAACAGTTACCAGTCTCTTGCTGTTCCCACTCGTCCTTTACCAAACTTAATTTCACATTTTTGGCAAGAGTCTGGCTGTCAGTCAGGGAAAAATAAATTGATCCTAGGACAGATAAGTAAATTCGGGGCAAAGACAATAAAGTAGCAGGAGGAGTTACTGCAGCTCGGTCCTCTCCTTTGAAGGGGCTCTTGGGACAGCAGCCGTTTTGCTGTTTGCCCCTTTTCCTAGTCAAGGAGGAACTATAACAAGTACAGCTGCCAGAGCACCCCTTCCCCAAGGAGGGGGCAAAGCAGCTGCAACAGCCTTTGATGTATCCACACAGGGGAGGAGAAGGGGAAGAGAAGGAACCTAACAATTCCACATATCCAAGTAAGAGGGAGAAATAGGTTCTGAAATAAGTCTAGAAGTCTTAGTGCATGTCTGCATGCACAAGAGGGGAGACACTCCAGATCATATCCACTGTATCTGACTCTTCTCCTTACATAGAGAGACCGAGCTGAGCAAAAGCTAGATTTTGTCAGATCTTCTAAGGCACATTCTGAGAAAGTCTCTGTGTATTTATATACTGTGATAATTACAAGCATAGAAGCAAGAAGGAAACACTGAGGCCCTTGCCAGTTCCATTCATATTCATTGAGAAAACA